AGACCTAAGAACTCAAACATAAAGCTATGAGGAGAGAACATAGGTGTAAATCTCCATGATCTCGGATTAGGAAAAGGTTTCTTAAATGAGACCAAAAGAGCAAGCAACAACAACAAAAATATAAATAAATGAGACTTTGTCAAAATGAAAACTTATGTGCTTCAAAGGGCACTATCAAAAAAATGAAAAGACAAGAGTGACATTAGCATCATGATGGAGTGAGTCCTCCCAGTGGTCTCTCCCCTCCATGATACAACAAAAAAGACATCCATACTCCAACAGAGGACATCCACACAACACAAAAGGTGTCTGAGAGACCCACGCAGCCACACGTCAGAGGGCGGACAGGCTGAAGGCCCCCTTGGAGGAGATGAAATGGGGTAAGAGAAAACTTCACCCCCGCCCCAAAAGACTGTGATCTGGGACTGAGCATGGCCACCGAGTGGGAAGGAAGAGGGGAGGGGACGCCTGTTCTGGGGAACATCAAAGACCCCGAGGTCCCTGGCAGCCTAGGAGAAGCCCCCTACCAGGGTGAAAGCTATCACAGTGTGACCTCATCAAGTCAATACCCCAGGGGAGCAGATAGTGAGAGCAGAACAAGAAAACCCCAAGAGCATGCAGAAGAAAGCGCCCCTCCCCCCCACTTGGTACTGGGCCACCCAGTGCCAGCTCCAGTGCCTGGGACCCTGGCAGAACACAGAGGACTCAGAGTATGCAGCTCTTGATCCCCACCAGTGGCAATAGGTGGTAACTGCAACCAAATAATACCAGGATGCTAAAGAACAAAGCCATGCCCTCTAGCAGCATCAAACATTATATTAAATCTCCAGACCAGAGAGAAAATAACAAGTACCCAGAAGTCAGTCCTGAAGACACAGAAATATGTAATCTAAATGACAGAGAATTCAAAATAGCTGTCATCAAAAAACTCAATGAGTTAAAAGAGAATGTAGAGAAACAATTCAATGAATTCAGGAGCTACTTCACAAAAGAGATTGAAAGTATAAAGGAAAATCTATCTAGAAATAGAATCTAGAAATATTGGAGGTGAAAGACACAATCGATGAGACAAAAGAAAATATAGATTCCCTGAACACTCAAGTGGATATCATAGAGGAGTGAATCAGCATAATTGAGGACAGACATACTGAAATGCTCCAGACAGAGCAGGAGAGAGAACTAAGACTAACGAGAAATGAAGGAAGTCTCCAAGAAATATCTGACTCAATTAGGAAATGCAACATAAGAATTATAGGCATTCAAGAGGGAGAAGAGAAGGAGAATGGAGCAGAAAGCTTGCTCAAAGAAATAATAGCAAAGAACTTCCCAAACCGGAGGAAGGAGATGGAAATCCATGTGAAAGAAGCTATCAGATCTCCTAAATATGTCAACGTAAAAAGACCTACTGCAAGGCATATACTAGTGAAACTGGCAAAAGTGAATGACAAAGAAAAAATACTAAGGACAGCAAGGCAGAAATAACCTACAAAGGAACCCCTATCAGATTTTTAGTGGATTTCTCTGCAGAAACCTTACAGGCTAGGAGAGACTGGAATGACATCAAAATCTTTGAAGAACAAAAGTTTTCAGCCAAGAATACTCTATCCAGCGAAAATATCCTTCAGATGTGATGGAGAAATAAAAACTGTCCTAGATAAACAAAAGCTAAGGGAGTTCCACAAAAACCCCCCTACAAGAAATCCTCAAGAAGGCCATCATACCTGAAAAAAGGGGGTAGAAAGGGGTTACAAAGCACAGAGTAAGGAGATAAATAAGTAGACAAAATCAGAAAATTGTAGCTATACATCAGAACAGATTAGCAAATACTTAAGTATAACTTTAAAGATAAAGGGAAGGAAAATGCCAAAAAACAAAGATAATCTTGTCAATTTAACCACAAACTCACAACACAAGATGGAATAAGATGTGAAAAAAACAACTTAGAACAGGAAGAGGAAAGGGACCAAATCAGTTTAGTCTAAGGGAAATAAGAGGCCATCAGAAAGTGGACTTTTTTTTTTTTTAAAAGATTTTATTTTTTTCCTTTTTTCTCCCCAAAGCCCCCGGTACATAGTTGTATATTCTTCGTTGTGGGTCCTTCTAGTTGTGGCATGTGGGATGCTGCCTCAGCGTGGTTTGATGAGCAGTGCCATGTCCGCGCCCAGGATTCAAACCAACAAAACACTGGGCCGCCTGCAGTGGAGCACACGAACTTAACCACTCGGCCACGGGGCCAGCCCCAGAAAGTGGACTATCTTAACTATGAGATTTTGAATACAAACTTTATGGTAACCACTAAACAAAAAAGCAGAACAGAGACACAATAATAAATAAGGAGAAAACAAAGAAACATAACATAAAAAACTACATAACTCAACTGGTAGACTGAAACACATGGGATGAGAAACAAAGGAAATGCAGGAGAACCAGAAAATTAGTGCTAAAATGGCAGCATTAAGCCCTCATATATCGATAATCACCCTAAACATAAATGGATTGAATTCTCTAATAAAAAGACACAGAGTGGCAAGATGGATTAAAGAACAAGACCCAGCAATATGCTGCCTCCAGGAAACACCTCTCAGCTCCAACAACAAACACAGGCTCAGAGTGAAGAGATGGAAGACGATACTCCAAGCTAACAGCAAACAAAAGAAAGCAGGTGTTGCAATACTTACAGCAGACAAAGTAGACTTCAAGATAAGACAGGTAAAGAGACAAAGAGGGGAAGTATATAATGATCAAAGGGACACTCCACCAAGAAGACATAACACTTATAAATATCTATGCACCCAACACAGGAGCACCAAAGTACATAAAGCAACTACTAACAAACCTAAAAGGAGATATTAAATATAACACAATAATAGTAGGGGACTTGAACACTCCACTAACACCAACGGATAGATCATCCAGACAGAAAATCAACAAGAAAACAGTGGAATTAAATGAAAAGCTAGAGCAGTTGGACTTAATAGGCATATATAGAACACTCCATCCAAAAACAGCAGAATACACATTCTTCTCAAGTGCGCATGGAATATTCTCAAGGATAGACCATATGCTGGGAAATAAGGCAAGCCTCAATAAATTTAAGAAGATTGAAATAATAACCAGCATCTTTTCCAATCACAATGCTATGAAGCTAGAAATTAATTACAAGAAAAAAGCTGAGAAAGGGACAAAGATGTGGAGACTAAACAAGATGCTATTGAGCAACCAATGGATCAAAGAAATTAAAGGAGAAATAAAAAAATATCTGGAGACAAACGAAAATGAAAACACACCATACCAACTCATATGGGATGCAGCAAAAGTGGTACCAAGAGGGAAATTCATCACAATACAGGCTCACCTTAACAAACAAGAGAAATCCAAAATAAGCAATCTCAAACTACACCTAAGTGAATTAGAAAAAGAAGAACAAAGACAGCCCAAAGTCAGCAGAAGGAGAGAAGTAATAAAAATCAGAGCAGAAATAAATGCTATTGAAACAAAAAAGGCAGTAGAAAGGGTCAATGAAACAAAAAGCTGCTTCCTTGACAAGATAAACAAAATTGACAAACCCCTAACCAGACTTACAAAGAAAAAAAAGAGAGAAAGCTCAGGTAAACAAAATCAAAAATGAAAGAGGAGAAATGACAACGGACACCACAGAAATACATGGGATTACACGAGAATACTATGAAAAACTATATTCCAACAAAAATGGGTAATCTAGAGGAAATGGACAAATTCTTAGACTCTTACAAGCTCCCAAAGATGAATCAAGAAGAAAAAAATAATCTGAATAGACCAAACACAAGGAAAGAGACTGAAACAGTAATCAAAAGCATCCCAAAGAATAAAACCCCAGGATCAGATGGCTTCCCTGGGGAATTCTACCAAACTTTCAGAGAGGATTTAATACCTATCCTTCTCAAGCTATTGCAAAAAATTAGGGAAGATGGAACCCATCCTAACACATTCTACAAGGCCAACATCACTCTGATACCAAAGCCTGTCAAGGACAACACAAAAAAGGAAAACTACAGGCCAATATTGCTGATGAACATAGACTCAAAAATCCTCAACAAAATATTGGCAACATTAATACAGACAGCAATACATCAAAAAGATCACACATCATGATCAAGTGGGATTTATACCAGGGACACAGGGATGGTTCAACATCCACAATCAATCAACGTGATACACCACATTAACAAAATGAGGAATAAAAACCACATGATCATCTCAATAGATTCAGAGAAAGCATTTGACAAGATCCAACAGCCATTTATGATAAAAACTCTTAACAAAATAGGGATAGAAGGAAATTACTTCAACATAATAAAGGCCATATATGACAAACACACAGCCAACATCATACTCAAAGGGGAAAAACTGGAAGCCATCCCCCCGAGACAGGAACAAGACAAGGATGCCCACTCTCACCACCCTTATTCAACATAGTACTGGAGGTTTGGGCCAGAGCAATTAGGCAAGAGAAAGGAATAAAATGAATTGAGTGGAAAGTAAAATTCTCCCCTAAAATATAAGGTCATTTCTAGAGATAGTGAGCACATACTAAAAGATGAGTTAAAGATTTTCACATAGAGTTCCAGCCTCTTGATAAAAGGGATATAGCGGGATGGGAGCAGGGGGCAGGAAACAGCTTGAGCCTCAGCCAATCCCCATGAAGCTGCAAAAAAGCCAAGAAATGTTCAGAATAATTTATGCATGAAGACTCACGAAAATCAGCAGTGATCATGCAGCAACTGACAGACTCGATGACTACTGAAGGAAGCACCTAAGTCAACTTATATCTTTTTTCCTTTAATTCTTTCTCCAAATGGTGATTCCCTTTAAAGGTGGCATCGCTCTTATTTGTAAACACTGTGCTTTGTTCATCAAATAAAGAGTTCTATCAATGCAGAGAAAGCCCAAGGAGAGGAACATCATGCCAGTTCACTTTTCCAATTAATCATACCAAGGCCTTTCAGCCGATAAAGACGTACCTTGAAGTCAACTTGCCCAAGCTGCAGAAAAAGCACCAAGCAAAGAGAAATAGCTTCTGAAATCCACATCATAACCTGAAAGGCGACGAGTGACAGCTAACCCTTCAGGACGGCTCAATGCCACACTCCTCTGGAGCTGGTCCTATGAAGGCATGGCGTGTCCGTCAGCCCAGATCTCACCCTGCCACCTACCTGGCCTGGTGCGATATGGGAGGCAGACAGGGATTGTGACATAAGCAAATGGCTTGAAGCTGATATATGTAAATGCCAGCCCTTGAGCTTCCCAGTAGGAACACAGCCTGTGAAGGCCTCATAACAGCCAACCTCTTGCAACCTCCAAGCCGACGGCCTCACCAGGGGGAAGAGGAACTTCCCCGCAGGAGAACCACCGGCAAGATTCTGTCCCCAGAGGATGGTGGCCATCATGTAAGCACCATGGAGACTGCCATGTGTGTTTGCTCTCCATGTTGTACATGGCAGAGATGTTGTCCTCGATTATGCTCCTGTCTATGCTGCAAGTTCCTCTTCACCTCGGAGCGGAATTGCACCTGCTTTCCCTGCCCTTACAAGGATGAGCGGAACTGCCAGTGCTGCCACTGCACCTGCTCCGAGAATCCCAACTGCCACTGGTGCTGCTGCTCCTGGGCCAACGACCCCAACTGCAAGTGCTGCTGCACGGCCAACAGCAACCTCAAGTGCTACTACTACGAGAGCCGCTGCTGCCGCAATGCCACCATCACGTTCCGCAAGGGCCGCCTCAAGAGCATCCGCATCTCGTAAGTGCCGGGCGCCCGATGTGGGCCACACTGCCAGCTGTGGGCTCCACGGGGCAGGCCAGTGGTGGTGCCTCAAGTCCATTTCTCTGTCTGAAAAAAGGAGGTCAAAAATTTTGTAGCAATTAAGCGTGTCCTAAATAGCTACTGACCACAGATAGACCTGAGCTCCAAATCCAAGCTCCCCCAGCTGTGCAAACGAGCATTGTGCCCTCCCGAACCTCATCTGTACAAAACAGTCATAGCTAATGCTCAGTGCTTATGCCAGACACTGCAGGCAGGGGCCCATCTGACCCTCAGCCCACGCCCACTGTACCGATGAGGAAACGGAGCCTTTGAGAGGATAGGACGCCCAGGATCACACAGCTAGTAAGACACAGTCAGGATTTGAACCCCAGAGTCTCTGCTCCTCACTTTAAAATGCCGTGCTACAAAATGGAGAGAACAATACCCATCACGATTGGATGGGTCTGAGGATTAATGGACGTGCTGTGTAATCTGTCACGTGACATAAAAATATAAATATAGCTCTCCGTCTTCCTCCTCTGAACTCTTCATATCTGCAACACTTATTGGAAAAGTCATAACTTCCACAGGCCATTTTTGACCCCTATGGCCTGTATAAGTCCCCCAGACAGCCGTGAACTCCTGCCAGCCTTCCCTTCGTTCCTATGCAGAAGTCACGGCACTGAGGGTCTCAATTACTCATCTGGGGCATTCACCCTCTGTGCCAGGCAGTGCACATCCTCCTCCTGCTCCAACCAAGCCAGGCTTTCTATGCCACGCGTGAGGGGGATCTGGGAGTAGCAGGCAGGCTCCCTAGAGGAGGAAAGATCAAAGCTGAGCACTGGAAGATGACACGATTTAGAAAGGCAGAAAAATGAGAGCAGGTGTGAAGCCTTTTAAGGCTGGAAAAGCCATACTGAGAGCAACGGTTCAGTGCATTCAGGGGAAGAGTATGGTCCATCTTGCAGTTCACACTTAGTAGATGCTTAATAGATGTCACTCTCTGCTCGGGGACCTCTAGCGGTGCTTGCATGAATAGAGAACGCGGGGGTCCTGGATGCGGGCCCAGGAGCTGTGAGGTGCAGAAAGTAGTGTCCACACTCCTCTCTCCTCTCAACTGCCCCATTTTCTGCACATCAGCAACAGAGAGTCACTGAGCCCATTTCAACAGGGGAGGGATGACATTGGTTCTTTGGGAAGATGGCTTAAGCCAGTAGCTCCCAAACTCCGCTTTGCATTGCAATCACCTGGGGATCTTTAAAAAATACTCATGCCTGGCCCCCACCCCCAGCCATTCTGATTTTATTGGTCTGGGGTACCACTTGGGCATCAGAATTGTAAAGGTCCCCTCCCAGGTGATTCTAAAGTGCAGAATTGCCAGGAAGGGACAAGAAGGGAACCTGGGAGACTTGCTGGGTGATATGGTGACAACCCAGGAGCAAGAAGAACAGGACTGAATTTGGGAGAGGGAGGGCTGTGCAGAGGACGCTGGAGATCTCAGCAGGCAGGCAAGGCTGCCAGGCTTGGTGACTGTTCTGGAAGGAACCATGGCCACTGGATGCCCAGGTCCAAGCCTGAGGCTTTCAGAGGATGGTCAGAGATGCTACTGCACGTGTCAAGAGGTTGGCTCCGGTGCACTGAGTCTGATCTTCATGTGGCCTCTCTTCTGAACCACTGCCTTTCCTGTTCCTCATCACTACTTCCTGCTCAGCATCTCGCTCCTCCTGCCTCACTTTTGTCTCATCCATCCCTCTCCGCCTTTACTCATCTCTTCGTCTCACTTCCCTTTTCACCTCCACCCCATCTCCCCGGGTGTCTCTTAGCCTTGCCTTCTCTCTCTTTCTCTTCCCCCAACACATCCCTCCCTCCCTCCTTCTGATTTCTCTTGCTCCCTCCCCTTATATGACACCTGATTCTCAGAGTCCCTGCTTATCAAACTAGAGAAGTCCATCCAGCTACCCTGTGTACAACTGACATGCCCCTCCAGGTGACCCCTTCAGGGCCCAGTTGGAGGCTGAGGAAGCAGGGAGGGAACAGGGCTGAGAACATTGAGGCTGGCAGACCTGGAGCCCAGCATCCAAGTCCCTAAGGGAGGAGCTTTCCAGGTGTCTGAGTCTTCACAAATTGCACTCTCTGTCACTACGAAGCCACTCCATTCCAACATGCCTGGGAAGCACCTTTAACTGTCTGGGCTCTGAGACATGGGTCCCTGGCCAAGGGAATGGGGAAGGAGACAGGGGCATATTGGACTGCAAGAAGGAACAGCAGAAGAGAACACAGCCACAACGTCAAGATCAACTCCCAAACATCACTAACGTGAACAGAGGTGAAGAGATAGGAACAGTCCAAATTGTGTATCTGTTTACACCTCCACCCCCGCACTGAACTCATTTCTTTTCACAAGCTGCTTTGGCCCTGATCGCAGCTTCTTAGAACATGCACTTGAAGTTTGAAAGTATGCTTTTACTTCATCCATAGTTCTTACAGTTAAATATATGAAATCGGGCATGGACATTAGACAAATAAAGAATCCACATGCACATACAAACAGTAGAAGCACACACTTTTCATGGACCTGACCATTGCCTTCCTCCAGTGTGGACAGGAGCTGGCTAGCAGCAGAGGGGAGCAATTCCAGGGCCATGTTTGTTGAAGGCTTACTATGGGTCAGGAGTTAAGCACTCACTATGGATTATCTCATGCAGACTTTGTAAAATTCTCATGAAGGTAGCAGTATTGTGAGCTCTGATTTACAGATGAGGAAACCGAGGATGAGAGAGGTTAAGAAACTCATCGCAGAGGTCAGCTCCAAAGTGATGGATTCCCTCATGTACAGTCTGCCCCTCGAGCCCAGACCCCTAACTCTGACCTATTGGTCAGGAGGTCAGAACACACAGGTTCTAGGCTTGGCTCTGGGACTGCCTCCTGGTGTCCTGGGAAGGACACTTCACCGTCCTCTTCTGTGTTCCATCCTATGTACGACAATAATAATGATGTCAATGCCCTCTAAGCAAAACCCACCAAGAACACACCTGTAGCTGGAGGAAAGTGGATTGATCAACTCATTGCAACAGGGGAGAGGTGTCTGGGTAAGAAGACATCAATAAGCTATTATAGGATTTAGGCTCCTGTTAGGTGAGGACTGAGGGTGAATCTCCTATTGGGTCTTTTAATAAATCTTACCTGAAAGGTGGGAAGACCAGAGTGAAAAAGCAGCAGGCACTCCCATTAACCAGCCGAGGGGAGGTCTGGTCATTTTGTGGTCTGGACAATGTCCTTGCTTTTGTCTGAGTTCACATACGATGAAGTGGTCTTGTTTCTGCCTTGCTCCATCACAGTCCTGGGATGGCCTTATCTGATGCTGGTCTTCTGTGATATTGTTGACGGCCAGAACACCAGGGCCCAGCTGATAGCGTCAGGCCAGTCTTGGCTGCTTTTCTCTGGCTCAAAAATAAAAACAACAGTTGTATATCACTGTGTTCCAGGGACTGCTCTAAGGCTTTGCAGGTATTAAATTCCATTTTAATCCTCTCAAGAACCTATAAAGTGAGTACTAATTTAATATTGAGGAAACAGGCAGAGAGAGGTTGATTAACTTTCCTGAGGTCACCCAGCTAAAAGATGGTGGAGGCAGGTGTAGAACCCAGAACCCTGGCATGGAGCCCAGCTCCTCACCATCGTACTGGGCTGCCTGTCAGCGACCCCCGGTTCTTTCAGAGGCGGAGAAACAAAGGGAGCTCTGGAGCCTCCTCCTGAAGCACTGTGTTTGCATCTCCTTTCAGCTCCAAGACCGCCTTGCGCGTGGGGACCAGCGATTCCCAGCTCGACGAGGTGAAGACGACGCCCGCCAACAGTAACCTGGTGGACCACCTCTCGTGCCCCATGTGCGGCCGGCTGCGCCTGCACTCCTTCATGCTGCCCTGCCACCACAGCCTGTGCGAGAAGTGCCTGCGGCAGCTGCAGAAGCACGCCGAGGTCACCGAGAACTTCTTCATCCTCATCTGCCCCGTGTGCGACCGCTCGCACTGCATGCCCTACAGCCACAAGATGCAGCTGCCCGAGAACTACCTGCGCGGGCGCCTCACCAAGCGCTACATGCAGCAGCACGGCTACCTCAAGTGGCGCTTCGACCGCTCCACCGGGCCCATCCTCTGCCAGGTCTGCCGCAGCCGGCGCATCGCCTACAAGCGCTGCCTCACCTGCCGCCTCAACCTGTGCAACGACTGCCTCAAGACCTTCCACTCGGACGTGGCCATGCAGGACCACGTCTTCGTGGACACCAGCACGGAGGACCAGGACGAGAAGATCTGCATCCACCACCCGTCCAGCCGCATCATCGAGTACTGCCGCAGCGACAACGAGCTGCTCTGCACCTTCTGCAAGACCGC